CTGGGAATGGAACAAACCTCTGGAGTCAGGATTAGGCTGGGGTATAGAAGAGAAAGCTGTGCGCACCTCAAGAGCAAAGGAAGGCCAGGGCCGGAGGGAGGCAAAAGCACTGATAGCTCTTGGGGACCTCCCTCAAGTCTAAGAGTGCCTCTCAGGAAGATCATGAAAACCCCACACATGAATGCTACCTCTGAGCATCTTGGGATAGGTTGAGCAAGCCACACCTGGGCCTCTGTTGTGAGCTGACTGCCATGCCATCTCCTAGTTACCAACCTCACCTGCTCCCCTACCAGGCTAAGTTCTGAGCAGTGATGATCCCAACTGACCATTACCAGACGTCCTGATCCAATGGTATTGGCTTATGAAACTAACATGTTACAGAGACCAACAGGCCAGCAGGCCTTGTACACGCCATGTGTATGAGCCCATTGCTACAAAAATCTCTAGGACTGGTTTTGATTCAACCACACAGAAGCAGCATCCAGTCTTTGTCAGCAGCTGGGACTGGCTAAGAAAAAGGGACTATGACCTGCCCATTACATCCCACCCTCCACAAATGGGATACAGCCCATTGTAGTTGGTTGATTTTTTTTTTTTTCACTCTTTGGGAGTCCACCACCCTGCTACCAAATAAATACACGGAGACTTATTCTTACTTATGAATGCCCAGCCTTAGCTTGGCTTGTTTCTAGCCAGCTTATATAACTTAAATTATCCCGTTTCTCTTTAACTATGTTTTGCCTCTGTTTTTTTAAACCTTTCTTTATTCTATATATCTTTCTTTCCTTCTTACTCCGTGGCTGGCTGTGTGGCTGGGTGACTGGCCCCTGGCATCCTCCTCTCCTTCTCCTTTTCTTGTTCCTCACTCTTCCTAATCTTGAACCTAGATTTCTCCTCCTATTTATTCTTTCTGCCCACCAGCCCCACCTATTTCTCTCTCCTGCCTAGCTATTGGCTATTCAGCTCTTTATTAGACCAATCAGGTGTTTTAGGCAGACAAAGTAACACAGCTTCACAGACTTAAACAAATGCAACATAAAAGAATGCAACACATCTTTGCATCATTAAACAGATATTCCACAGCATAAACAAATGCAACACATCTTAAACTAATATTCCACAACAATTCATATTCTCATTGTGTGAGTCGTTTCCTGCCTAGTTAGACCCAGGACCCACCACTAAGCACAGACTGCATGAGCAAATTCACTGTTGCCCATCACCAACATATAGACACGTGTTCATGGTACTTGAATAGAATAACCCCATAGGCAGGCTTAGCCAATGTATAGTCTGTAGCTTAGGGTTGAGGACCACTTTTAAGTATAGCCCTTATTTGAAAATTTAGCCACCCAGACAGACCAGGACAGTCAACATCTCTGCATGCCCCCATGCCCCCATGCCCCCATGCCCCCATGCCCCCATGCCCCCATGCCCCCACCCCTTTCAGTGTCTCTCTACTTATCCCTGACTACCCTGCAACTTGCTATTTACTATGTAGACCAGGCTGGCCTTGAACTCACAGAGATTCACCTGCCTCTGCCTTCCAAGTGCTGGACTTAAAGGAGTGCACCACCATGCCCTGCAACCATGCTTATATTATTGAGTTCATGCTATGAGCCATGCTTGAATCAAGAGTGGAGAACAGATAAAGTAAGACAAGCCAGGTTAGGCCAAGCCACTTACTTTCATACCATGCTCAGTCAGCAAACAAACACCTCATGTGACTCTGGCAATGATGCCAAGAAATGAGGAAATACACATCAGTGAGTGGCAGAGACTCCTGGTTGTCAGCCACACAATCAGCAAATACCTCATGTGGATGCCAAGAGACTAGGAAACAGAAAGCAGTGAGCAGCAGAGACTCCAGGTCCTCAGCCACTTCCATCATCGATGAAAACCCGGGGACCTGAGAGGCATGTTGCTTGGCTCCCTGAGCTAGGCACAGCCTAGGAACCAGTACAGGCCAATGGACTATGAGTCGAAGTGGTCTATTCATCTCATCCATCTCATTGCTGGCATGAGGCCCTCTGGCACCCCTCCCCCTCCCCCGTTTCTTCTTTCATGGTGTCCCACAATGCTCAGAAGATTGGCTCTTCATTCAGCCTAGCTCCTGAGCAAATTCAACTCTCCACCAACCACAGTGGACATGCCACAGGAGCAAGAAAACAGTGTGTAAACACCAGCCATCAGCATCTGGGGTGCTTAGAGCCACTCAGCCAACCCGTCTTTAGTATTATTTTTAAAAGTCAGAATACATTTTTAAAGTCAGCATACAAAGTAACTGATTTTATTATGGTATTTTCATTCACATTTGTCATTTTACTGTGTCCTTATTTATCTCTCTTCTTGTCTCCCTTGCTTCCCTTTAAATGGTTTTCTTCCCTCAAGGGGTCCACTCCTTCCCTCTCATGTCACATGTATTTCAATACTCCTTCCCACCCTTAAGATCTCTCCTCAGCTCTCATGGTACTCAGGAGGCTCCTCTCTGCTTCCATGACCTCATATATAGAGATAAACAGATGTAGACAGACAGACAGACAGATACATCCTGCCAATATCAAGATTTCATTTTTCTTTGTAGCTAAAAAAAAATCTATCATACTAGATATAGTGGCATATATCTTTAATCCCCGCACTCTAGAGGCAGAGGCAGAGACAGGCAGATCTCTGTGAGTTTGAGGCCAGCTTAATATACACAGTGAGTTCTAGGATAGCCAGGGCTGCATAGTGAGACTAGCATAGTGAAAACCTGTCTTAAAAAAATGTTTTTTTTTTCCATCATGCAGACAGCTCATGTGTATGAAAGCATGCTAAGGTGATTGTCTGCTAAAGTGGCTAACTCCTGCGGTTTTTTGGAGCCCAAAAGCCTATGGAGTTTGCTGCAGATAGGCTGTAACAAAAAAGATTCCAGCCCAGGCAGGGTGGAAGCTCTGGCTGCATGCAGCTCTGGCCTGAGCCAGTGGCTGAAAAGCAATCAGCTCTTTCATGAAATTCATGCCCCACACAGGGTGCCAAATACTGCTCGAATGCTAAATGGTCTTATAAAAAAAAAAAAAAAAAAACCCAGAGACAGATATTGGGGTAAATGCTGAAAGATCAGAGAGACAAAGGAACAAGCCACTAGAGAAACTTCTCACCACTACGGAATCCTCAGGCCAAATGGAAGATGAGACCCTATCTCCACAATGCCTCTGAGTCCTCAGCCAAAAAGGGCTCCTCAGCTGAAAAGCCTTAGTTCCTTTCTCCTCATGCCTTATATACCTTTCTCCGCCCAGCCATATCACTTCCTTGCTAGTATATATCCTGGGATTAAAGGCGTGTGCCACCACTGCCTGCTCTGTTTCTCTCCTAGACTGGATCAATCTCATGTAGTCCAGGGTGGCTTTGAATTCACAGAGATCTAGATGTATCTCTGCCTCCTGAGTGCTAGTATTAAAGGTGTGTGCCACCACTGCCTGGCCTCTATTTTTAATTTAGTGGCTTGCTCTGTCCTCTGATTCTCAGGCAAGCTTTATTTGATACACAATATATCACCACAACAAGTTATTAAGAACTTGGAAAGTTCTGTATGTGGATTACCTTTATCAGTATTTGCCGTTTTAAAAGTCAAAAGAAAAACATTCCTATCTGATGAAATTGGAGAGATGGCTCAGTGGCTAAGAGCTGTAGCATGAATCCTAATTGGTCTTAATAATAAAAACCCAGAGTCAGATATGAGGGTGAAAGCTGAAAAATCAGAGTACATCTGGTGCCCAATGTGGGGCACAAATTCACAAAAAAGCTGCTTGCCTGTGGTTTTGCAGCCTCTGGCATGGACCTGAGCTGCATGTGGCCAGAGTCACTACCCCACCAGCTAAGTTTCTGTGGCAGCCTATCTGCAGCAAACTCCATAGGCTTTTGGGCTCCAAAAGGCGCAGGAGTTAGCCACTTTCACACATTGCCCCATGATTGGCTCTTTTGCTTTTTCTCTCCCAGTGGGTTATGGGCTCTCCCTGGACCCCCTCCTCAGGCTGCTACCATAGCTTCCTTGAAACCTGGTTGGACTTCTGCTGTGCCACGCAGAAGCAGTCAGCCTCACATCTGAATCATCATCATTGGCAGATTTGGTAAGACAATTGGGAATTCTTAAAGGGGGGAATTAGTTTAAAACTTCAAACACACACACACACACACACACACACACACACACACACACACACACACAAACTTCAAACACTTCAGAGATCTACAGAATATAGCATTTAAGATGTTTTAATAACATTAGGTTCCTTTTTTTTTTTTTATAATGAGATATGTGTCTGCTCCTGGCAGCACCAATCTATGACAGAGAAGATGGTGGACACTGAGGAAACCCCAGATGGAGTTTACTTTCTTTGTGGCAAAAGTTAGCCACTGGGCAAGAAAATGCCCTTGCCTTGACTGCTGATAGTATGCGGTCCAAATGGGACAAGGAGGACACAAAAGGAAGGACTGCTGAACTTTGCCAAGACAAGGTAGGACAGCCCTTTAGAAAATCGTACCCCACAGATAAGTCTGTCAGAAAGAGCATTGGTTGCTCTTCCAGAGGACCTGGGTTCCATTCCCAGCACATACAGGGCAGTTTACAACTGTCTGTAAGTCCAGTCCCAGGGGATCTGATGCCCCCTTCGGGCCTCCTTGAACATTGAGTGAATATGGCACAAACATACATACAAGCAAAATACCTAGACACACAAAATAATTAGTTAAAAAAATAAAAACAGCTGGAAAGATGACTCGGTGATTAAGGATACAGGCTATTCTTCCAGAGGACCTAGATTTGATTCCCAGTACCTACAGGGCAGCTTACAATTATCTGTAACTCCAGTTCTAGGAGATCAGGTGTCCTTTTCTGGCCTCTGTGGGCACCAGATGTGCCCTTGGTACATAGACATACATGAAGGCAAAACACTCATATACATAAAATAAGATAGTAAAATTTTATTTAAACTCCCTGAAATAAAACAAAAACACACAAACAAAAATAATGGCTTTTTCATGGTGCCTCATAGGCAGTTGGCTGTATCAAGATTAAGCTAAATATCTCCTTCCCACCCACCAGTTGTCAGAAAGTCACTGAAGTGTGTGATGCCTACAAGCTTTGTCCTTTCTGCAAGCAGCACATGGCCACAGAAGTTGCTGCTGATATTCTGGGTGAAGAGTGGAAGAGTTTTGTCATCCGAACCACATAACAAGGTTTTCCCAGTAGAGTGCACCTGCTGTTGAGTAAGGGGAGTTTCTGTTGTAGACCGAGAAGAACTGGAGAAGCAAGTGCAAGTCTGTTTGGGAGTACCAATCTAAATGTTTGCAACTTGGTTATTGTAATAAACAAACAAACAAATAAACAGGACAGAGGGATGCTCCTGGACTGACAGATACTACTATGCTTTGGCGGTTGGGGCCCAAAAAGAGCTAGCAGAGTCTGAGATCATTTCAATCTCTCTAAAGAAGATGGTGCTCACCAATATGCTGTCAGAAAGCCCATAACAGAGAGGGTAAGAAGCCCAGGACCAAAGCTCCCAAGATTCAGGCGCTTGTTAGTCCATGTGTCCTTGCAACACCAACACTGACGTAGTGCTCTGAAGAAACAGTACACTAAGAAAAACAAGGAGGAAGCTGCAGACTATGTCAAACTTTGTGTCCAAAAGAATAAAGGAAGCCAAAGAAAAATGCCAGGAACACATTGCCAAGAGACATAGGTAGGTCTTCCTCCTGAGCCCTGCCAACTTGGGGTAATTGTCACCTTTAAACCCACTTATACCATATGTCTATCGGCTTCTGAGGTCTGACTCAAAAGATAGTCACCCTCTGGTCAGCCCAGAGCATCTGCAGAGGATGAAGCATGGAGATTGAAACCTGTGCAAAGATATCCAAGATTCAGGTCTGATGCCTTTGGAAGGAGCTGGGGTGTGTGCACTGGGCCTAGTACCCATCAGTGGAAGGAGCTGGGGTGTGTGCATTGGGCCTAGTACCCATCAGTGGAAGGAGCTGGGGTGTGTGCACTGGGCCTAGTACCCATCAGTGGAAGGAGCTGGGGTGTGTACACTGGGCCTAGTACCCATCAGTGGAAGGAGCTGGGGTGTGTGCATTGGGCCTAGTACCCATCAGTGGAAGGAGCTGGGGTGTGTGCATTGGGCCTAGTACCCATCAGTGTCACCGACAGACCCTGGTGCCAAAAGCAGGGCAAAGGGAGAATCACCCTTCATTGTAAGTAACTACAATCCAGAGTAGACATGATAAATCAGAATCCGTTCCCCTTACCAACTTGTAACAAAATGCCCGGTGTCTTCTTCCCAACGGTTTCACTTATATTCATTTAACACATTCAGACTGCTTATGTTTTTGTTTTTATGGTTTTTTGTTTTCTCCTTTATGCAACTTCTAATTTTGATACACTTTCAAACTCAGAGAAGAAAGTTTCAAAAGCATCCACGAACACTCAAGTGCAGATGTAATGTAAAATGTAATGTAATCAACATTTCCCCACATTGGCACTGCCGTTTTGCCATTGTTTGCTAGACAGTTATCGGCTTTAAGAAAGTGAAACCGTTGGAGAGTAAATTGCACATTGCCCGATCCTCAGCCCTAAATACTCCAGTGTATATCCCTGAGAGGACAATCTCTAGCATAACCCAAGTACAATGATCAAAATGGGGACATTTGAGGCTAATGAGTGTCCAGTCCATAGTTGGATTTCTCTAACTGGTCCAATCTTGTCCTCAGTAGTATTTCCCCCAGACCAGCATCTCTGGACTTCTGTGACTGTGGGTGTCTTTACCTCTGTTTAGGAAGACCTAGATGCCAGTGGCTCTTATGGATCCTGCATAGAGCTGACTCTTCTAGACAAGCAGCTGCTGAGGGACAAGACCCAGAAGATTCCTGGGGTCATGGTATAGAGCCACCAACCTCAGTTTGCCACAAAGAAGCTATCCTGGAGGGTGAAAGGCAGTGAACACTGGAATCTGGGTGTCAGAAGGCTGGGGTCTGGAGTAACTCTCTCAGGTCCAGAAACTTCTGCTGCCAGAAGTCAATAGCCCCTTTCAAGACACACTCTGATCCCCTCTGCCGGACTCTACATGGGGAATACTATCCAAAGATTGATTTTGTTTGTTTATTTTTAGGAGAGGGTCTAACATAGCCCAGGCTCAGCTCAAACTCACTATATAGCTAAGGATATAACCTTGGACACCTGATTTTCCTGTCTCCAACTTCCAAGTTCTATAATTACAGGTGTCCACCACCATGCCTGTCTCTACTAGGGAAAATTTAAAGTTGGATGTCACATATCATCGCCTCAGACTTTAAAGAACAGCCCCATCACAGGGGCCCATGAGGCACCTTGCTTTTATTTCTTTATTTATTGCACTGCCCTGGCTTCCAGGTCTTTGGGCTAGCTCTGGAGAACACCGACTCTCTCTTACCTGGGCTGTGAGGCAAGCAGTCTCCAGGTTGCTAACTGCCATCAAGGGCTCACAAGGGGCAAGGCCAGCACACGCTGAATGCCTTGTGGTCAGTTCATTCATAGCTCACCTCCATGGGTATATGCCAGGTAGATGCCTTCTTGGGATCCAGGGTCCACAGGGCAGAGCCCCGACTTCCCTGCCAGGCCTCCCTCCCCACCACAACCCTGCCCAAACCTGCCCCTCTCCCTCCTGCCAACATTTCCAGGGAGAGGCAGATGCTGCGGAGTCCTGATGGACAGTTTGGCGTTCAGGGCGGGCTGTTTTCAGCTTGGGAACAGTGTGTGCAAGTGTGGCACTTGTCTCCAGGACACACCTCACTCTTCATGCACTTCTAATGAGGCAACATGGACACCACACACACAAGCTGCTGAACTGCCGACTGCTGCCACTTTCCAACAAAAACGGACTTAGAGGCGTATTTTTATAAGGAAGAAATGACATAAGCGCCCTTCTTTGTTATTTAAATTTCATGAAAATCAACCATAGAAGGTGTGTAATTGAGCACAGAATAGGGCCCAAAATATATTCTGAAATAATGGGAGCCCTTTCTAGATTATATAGGGAAAAAGTCAGAGAAAAGCAAGGTCTCTGTGCAAAATAATGAACTATTTGAAGGAAAGGAGGGAGGGGGAGGGAAGGGGGTAGTATGATGATCAGGCATGGCTGGAAGAGTTTTTGAGGGGTAGCTGTTTTTGTTTTGTTTTGTGTGTTTTTTTGTTTGTTTGTTTAAAACATTTAAGACAGTGTCTCACTCTGTAACCCAGGCTGGCCTGCAACTCAATCTGTAGCCCAAGACGGCCCTGGACTTGTGGTATTCCTCCTGTCTCAAGTTCCCAAATGCAGGAATGACAGGCACCACACCCAGACAGGGGCTCGTTTTCTGAGGGGTTGCCTTGGAGGGGGACTTAGTGGGCACAGTGGGTTGCAGCCCTACAGGGTGATTTAGATTCAAACTCAAGCTGCATATAGTTCTTTAGCCAGACACCAGGGCCAGGCAAATGAACCTGGGAGCCTTCCACAGCAGCTATCAGACAGTCTGTGAGTGAGGACAGAAAGCTACAGGCCTCGGTGCTGCTCCACCCCACCCTAACACGGGCACTCTAAGCCCTGTCATCCCAAAGGCCATGAGCCTTAGCAGCCAGGCCTCAGAGCTGGTCTGGAGGCCTGACCCAAGCGGCCTTGGGAATCAAGGGGCCTGCAGCCAGGAGCTGTCCTGACTCACCATAGAAGTCTTCTTTGAGTCAAATGTCCCCAAAGGGCCCACAGCATGTTCCTTCCACAACACTGGGTCTGTCTGGTGTCCCTTAAGCTCGGCAGCTCCTGTGCCAATAGCAAGCTTCTCTTGGCCTGTCACTCTGTCTTGATGGAACCCCCATCTCCTGTCTGTCCAGTAGGGAAAATACCATCTCCTGAAAGAGCTGATGTGAGAGCAATCCAGACACACAATACCCAGTAAAGTGCCAGCCAGCTTATCCGTACTGCAGCCAAGGATACCTATTCCCTCTCTCTGTCAGTCCGGGTTCCACCGTTGCCTGCTCCAGACCCTAGCCATGACCAATGATGTCTGCTCTCCAGGAAGCCCTCATTAACTTCTTTGTTTTTGTTTCTGGATGCGGGGTCTCCCTATGTAGTCTTGGCTGGCCTGGAACTCAGTGTGTAAACCAGGCTGGTCCTGAACTCATACAGCCTGCTCTGTCTCCTGAGTGTGGGATCATAAGTGTGAACACCACACTGGGCCCTCATTAGCTTCCTGAGAACCAACTGAGCCCCTGGTGGTGACTGATTCCAGACTGCAAAGGCCACTCTGCCCAGGGCTTCTCCAGTCCCCCATGCCTGGTCCCAGGCTCTTTCTGTCCTACTAACTCTTACATTACACTGAGCAGCAATGGCCCGGTCCATCTTCTGCACTCGCCTGGGGATGCTGAAGAGAAGCTCACAGCTAGCCCTGGTACTCAGCACATGAGTCTGTTCAATGAGGGGCTTCTGTGAGTCAGAGCTGAGAGAACGGTAGGAGCATCAACCAGGGGATGGATGAGGTCAGCGCGCCATCTACTGGCAATTTTGTGGACCAGCAGGAAAGGATTTGCTTAGCTGTCAGTTGGGGCCCCTTAGTCATCATATGACTAGTTTCTCAACCTATGGGTTGCGACCCCATGAAATAGCATATCAGTTATTTACATTATGATTCATAACAGTAGCAAAATTACAGTTATGAAGCAGCGACAAAAACAATGTTATGGTTGGCGGTCACTTCAGCAAAAGGAACTGTATTAACCGATTGCAGCATTAGGAAAGTTGAGAACCACTGAGTTAGGGGCTCCGTGGAAATCCACACCCCAGCCACCCCACGCACTGCCTAGAAACCACCAACAAATATTGCTCTTTTCCTTGGGGAAAGAGATATGATGTATCAAGGATATGCAGGAAAGGGCTTCTTTTCTACTCCCCACTCCAGGTTGTGGATTTAAGATGATCTTGGGAGATCTGAGGAAGGATTCCAAGACCCTGGCAGTTACTACAGTACTACTGCAAGCAGGCATTGAGGGCAGACAGACCTGGCACCAATTACAGCCTTGCCACTCACTACCTGTGTGACCCGGGACAAATGTTTTCCCATCTCTTAGCTTTGACTTCCCGATCTGTAAAGCAAGCCCATGATAGTCTAACCCACAAGAATGATAACACAGCCACTGTCTTCTGGTGCTTGCACAGTATGAGAGCCAGCTTCCTCTTACCCATCCAGGCTCAACTCCTTTTCTCCAGCCCCACTCCAGAGCGTCCCTGTGTGGTGATATTTTGAACAAATAAAATTTGCCTGAAGATCAGAGAACAGAACAAGCCACTAGATTAAACATAGAAGTAGGGCAGTGGTGGCACACACCTTTGATCCCAGCACTTGGGATCACACACCTTTAATCCCAGCACTAGAAAGGTTGAGACAGGAAGTGGTATGGCTGAGCAGAGAAAGTAATATAAGGCGGGAGGAGACAGGAACTGTGTAGCATGAATCTTAAAGGTACTTACTAATAAAAACAAACCCGGGACCAGATATTGGGGTGAATGCTGAAAGATCAGAGAAGCAGAACAAGCCACAGCTTCCTCACCTTGCCAATTCCTCAGCTGATCCTGTTTCCTCAGACTGGAAACCTCTAAGTCCTCATCCAAATAGATCTCAGCTGAACTGCTTCTTGAAAGCCTGAAAGCTTAACCGGCCAAATGCTTCTAGTTCCTGGTCCTCACGCCTTATATACCTTTCTGCTTCCTGCCATCACTCCCTGGGATTAAAGGCTCACTTTCTGGGATTAAAGGCATGAGTTACCATGCTTGGCTGTATCCTTGAACACACAGAGATCCAGGTAGATCTCTGCCTCTGGAATGCTAGGATTAAAGGTGTGAGTGCCATCATTTTCTAGCCTCTGTATCTAGTAGCTGTTCTGTTCTCTGACCCCAGATAAGTTTATTAGGGTGCACAATATTTTGGGGAACACAATACCACCACAGAACTGTCTCTTTCAGGCTGAGGAGTTGATGAGGTAAGAGGTGGTGGCTGTGGCTTGCTCTGCTTCTCTGATCTTTCAGCTTTCATGCTGATTATCTGGCTTCAGGTTTTTAGAATAAGACCATTTAGGATTCATGCAACATCCCTGGTCTTCCAGTTGTTACCCCAGCTCTCCAATCCTGCTGGCCTCTCCTGATGACTCCTGACTCATGGTTCCCTCTCCTTTTCTCAGCCCTCTTGCCACCTCTAACAAGATTCCTCAGGCCCCCTGCTTCCAGACCTGTTCACCCCCAATACGGGCAACACCAACACCCCAAATACAGAGGACCAGATCTGACTGAAATAAGAGGGGGCAGAAAAGAGCCTGATGGGTCCCCTGATAAGCTTCTGGGCACAAGCAGAGTTCACAGTCCCAGGATGCCCATCACGAGTCTCTGCATTTTCCCTGGACAATGCAGAGAGAAGCTTCTCTGACCAAGCTGCAAGGAAGCAGTAATCTATGTGCATAAACAGATATATTTAGAAGGAAATTTGACAAGTTTATTTGGCAAGACAGTAGGAGTAAGTTCCCACCTAGCGCCCATGACCTCCTGAGCCGTTAACGTTTGACCAAGCTCACAGCATTAGGCATGAAATCCCTGCCGTGGAGCAGGCCGTAACCCAAACTGCCACGTGTTTGGTTACCCATAGCTCTGTTGCCACCACTGCCCCAGTGGGCACATCTCGTCGGAGGTCAGCGTCGTAGCATACAGGCTACCACAGCACCCTGCACAGCCCTCTGGCGCTATGTTAGATAACCACCACTTTCCTGAGCAGTCAAGGCTTATTTCTCTCTGTCCTGAATACAGAGTGAGTCGTGTCTTCAGCAACTGTGTCCTATCAAACCCCCTTTGCAAAGATCAGAGACCAGCCCTGCTCTCAAAGACGTCTCCAACAGAAACTACAATCAAATGGCAGTATTTTACTTCATATTTTCTTGTCTGAGATCTTTCTTGAAGCCCTTTGCCCATTTTTAAACCTTTGAATCTTCACAATAACAACACTGTCTAGAAAAAGGGAAACATTAGGAAAGTCACAGGACCCCTCCGAGTCCACATAGAAGATATCTGCATACAGATTTGAACCCAGGTACCTGGCTTCTTAAAACTCAGAGTAGGAGCACTGCCCCAGAATCTTCTTGCTACCTAAAATCCAAGGTCACAGTCACAAATGTGGATATCGGGTGCTCAGTAGCATGGCTATAGAATGGGAGGTGTTCCCTTTAAGGGACAAATGGGGCCACAAGGCCAGTGTCCAGGATATGGTGCAAGAAGAGGCTCCCGCCCCCTGTCACACTGACTTCTCCAGGAGGGTTCTGAGTAAAGGACTTCTGTTAGCCCTGCACAGCTCAACTACTACCCTCCAGAGCTCCCACTCATTATCCCCAGAGCTCCAGCATGTAGAGGCCTGACAAGAATAGACAGCCCAGGTACTGTAGTTAAAGGTGTTGGAAGCATTCCATGGTCTGGGCAAGCATGACCACAGGAAGGTCGCTTCCAGGGTGCTGAGCCGAGCCACCCGATGCCCTGGGCCTTGCCTAGAACCACTCTCCAAGATGAGTCTGTACTGCAGAGAGACCCACAGTGGAGTTTGTGCTTATGCCCTGGCCCCAGTGGCCAACAGCAGGACGGAGGAAGGCAGAGAGAGGCCAGCAGCAGTCGCTGGTTCTGAAGTAAGCCATTAGCACTGACACAGCAGGGGCACTGGGGGTCAATAGAAACCAAAAGAAATCAGCCATGTCACTGGGTGAGCCGCTGGGTGACAACGTCACCGGGCTGGGTTGGTGATTTACAGCTCAGGAGGTCTGTGGTCCCACAGAGCTTCTGGAAAACCACTTGGAGAGCTGGCTCAGGAGGCAGGATTTCTCATTTTCTCATCATGTCCTCATTTCAGTGATCTAGCTCTCCCCTGGGGCCCAGGGAGGAGGAAAACACTTTTTATATTATGTTAGTGGCCATGTGGAAAAGACATATTTGCCATGACACTGAGTTCAGAGCGAAGATGCACATTCATAAAGCACACGTGAAGAGCGTCATGTTGAAGGTTGGGAGACGTTTGCTGTCACGGCATGGGCTAGTCTTCTGAAATAGACAGTGAAAGAAAGCAAAACATCAGGGATGAGAGCCCCACCGGGGAATGGGAACTGCTGCTCTTAAGAACACTGTCACCAAGTCAGGACAATGCCCAGGACTGAGGAGGGATGACCAGAACAGGGAGCCATGTCTGCTTGGCTGTGGCTGAGCCCCTGGACAGCTCTCATGAGAGCATTCCTGCAGCTAGAACAGGTCTGAGGGACACTATTCTCTCTTGGTTTTCCTTTTCAGACGTTGTGAACTGTGGTGCTGAAGAGGTGGTTCAGCTCTTAAGAGCACTGGCTGCTCTTCTAGACGATCTGGGTTCAATTCCCAGCATCCATATGGCAGCTCACAGCCATATTTAACTCCAGTTCCAGAGGATCAGCTCCCTCTTATGGCATGGCGTCCATGGGCAATGCATGCACGTGGTGCAGACACACGCCAGCAAAACACCCATACATATAAAAAAAAATAAATCTTAAAAAAAAAAAAAGGACTGAGTGTGGTGCTTCCGCACACCACAGGCCTCTGGACCAGCACATTCTTGGTGGTAGGTCCTGGTTATACCCTAAGATGTAAGATCCGTAACAAGACAGCCAGGAAGGAAAAGGGACTGAGTAATGGTGAACATGCTGTGTTAACCAGTTCAGTGAGACACCCTGTCTCAAAGAACAAATGGAGAGTAATCAAGAAAGACATCTAGGCTGGAGAGATGGCTCAGAGGTTAAGAGCACCGGCTGCTCTTCCAGAGGTCCTGAGTTCAATTCCCAGTAACTACATGGTGGCTCACAACCATCTGTAATGAGATCTAGTGCCCTCTTCTGGTGTGCAGACAAAACACTAATAAATAAATCTAAAAGAAAAGAGAAAGACTTCTAACATCAACCTCTGGCCTCCAACCACATGAGAACACAAATACATGCACACCCACAGGTACATGTGTGCACACCCACAAGAACACACACAAAAATTAAAAATCTTTTGTGTCCAGAAGAACATAACAATGAGAAGTCAGCCTGCAGAACAGAGAACATATTTGTAAAGCACTGATAAAGTGCCAGGACCCAAAGGCTATGTAAAGAGCTCCTGCAAGCCAGCCACCATGACAGAAGCAAAAACTAAAACCTAGCAAAGGACTTTGAGTTGCTGTTTCTCCAGAGATGTTTACAAAAGTGCATACATGCATAAAAAGATGATGAGCATTACTCATCACTAGAGAAACACAAATCAAAAGCACAATGCATATCACCCCTTAGCTATCAAATATAGAAAATACCAGTTATCAGTGAGGAAGGATGTGGAGAGACCCCAGTCTCATGATGCAGTCTGGTGACAAGAAGGTGAGTTGGTTCAGGACTGAGGAGAACAACACAGCAATTCCTACGAAATTTAGGAACAAAATGTGAGCTGCAGATTCTACTTCTTCATATGCATGTGTCACTTTTACCGTTACAGGGACCAACCGACCTGAAAGAACAACTTGGAGGCTCAGGGTATGTGTTGGCTGTGGTTTCTGGAGGATCAGTCCATGGTTGCTTGACCTGTGTACTCCGGTGGAACATCACAGTGGTGGAAGCGTGCAAGTGTAACAGCAGAGTCAGGCCAAGATATCCCCAGTGACCTACTCTCTTCTAATCATCTGGAGGACGAATGTTTAAAAAAACATGAGCCAGTGGCAGGGCGGGGGGGATGTGCGAATACATACATGTGCCCACCATACACATGTGCATATGCAAAAAAAGAGTAATAAGATTATGAGGGGCCTGTCATCCTGAATGGATTAATGGTTACCGGAGCATGGGTCAGATATCTCAGGAGTCATTTTTGATAAAAGGATGAAGTGAGGCCCTCATCCTGGGTCTGGCACACTCACCTGCCCACCCATGTAAGGATAAAGCATAAATGTCCTACCAGATGTCAACATCAGGCTACTAGACTTCAAGCCTCCTGAACCATGAGCCAAATTCTTTTCCATTCATTACCCATTACTTAGCCCATGAAACCCTATGTAGGTTCCCTTCTTGCTCCATGGCCCCTTGTCCATCAGGATGCTGTGAGTAAAGGCAAAGGAGATGGCATGTGAGCCAGGGTACTGGGAAGCCTCCTCCTCCTCCAAATCCCTCCTCAGGCAGCCAGAGAGGCAACCCGTGCATCCTGTGGACAAAGGGTGTCAAGCATGTGAGTTAATGATGCTCTAAGGGTATGTATGATCTGGTCCCTCCCCCAGGCATTGGTTATGGTTCCAGGCACTGTTGAATTTGGCATTAAGTAGAATTTGTGTAAATTAAGAATGGGGAAGAGCAAGGAAGTTGTGTTTAATAATGAATCCTGGAATAGGAGAAGCGTGAACCAGAATAGTGCCTCTTCCTCCCACCTCCGCTCCTTAGCAGGTGGAGGCCAGCCCGTCTCTGCAAGGAGGCCCAGTGATTGCATCAGGAACCAGGAAGGGCCACCCTGGAAGCCATCTGCTTCCCAGCAGGACTTAGGCCAGGGGACAGCAGAGCTGTTCCAACTTGCCTGAACCCCACCCAGTCGGCGGCGAGCACTTGTAGCTTGGGTTGACATAGAGTACTGGAGTTGAGGGTAAAGATTTGGAGATTAGATCTGGATTTAAGAGACAGCTCTGCTGTGTAACATGTAGAAAATCCAGAGTAGGAAGCCTCCTTAGCCGTGCCTCAGTTTCTCATTTGTAACAAAGATGAATAAACAGTGGGACCTGCCTCTGCTGGGAGGATTGAGCCGAGACATGGTAGTTAGTAAGGAATCATGTGTTTTAGTGAAATTCAAATATGCCATGATAATTGTTAGGTAAGGGCAGAGGACAGGGCAAAGCAGAGTCAGTTACAGAACAGGAGCCCACCTCTCACTGTCTTTCTACCAGGCCCATCCGACACCCAGAAATGCATCAACTCCTCATTACCACAGACACAGGCACATCTCCTCCAGGATACCTTCCTGGTGGCTGTTCGTTTAAATATGAAGAGTCTCCCACAGGCTCATCAGTCATCATGATCCCTAGATGATGGCAGCAGTGACAGGCGACTGGACCATGAGGGTGTAACCTCATCAATGGGTTAATCCGACTGGGCTATCAGAAAGTGGGGCCTAGCTGGAGGAGGTGGTAGGAAGTAGGCATGCCTTTGAAGAGCATATCTTATCCTTAGCTCTTCCTTCCTCCCTCTCCCACCTCCCTTTTCTACCACACCCTTCCATCATGGTCCAGATGATTCTGCCTTGCCCCAGACCTAAAAGCAATGGAGCCAGATGACCACAGGCTGAAATTTAACAGAAGTGCCGAAACAGACTTTCCTCTCATCCCATCCCCTTCCATGTATTTGATCACTGTGAGTCACAAGCACTTACCCTTCCCTGAGAGCTGGCAGGGGCAGGGAGTGTTGTCTTAACCCTAGAGCATCCATGCTCAGCCCCACGGTGGGCGAGGCATGGGGGGTGGCGGGTGGTCAGGGCCAAGTCCTGGCTACATCTTCCCCCAGGTCATCTTATTCCATTGTTACCGGCCTATTCCTGTTCCCTGTTCCCTCCTGCATCTCTGACCACTGCTCCACATGGCCTGCTACTCTGGGCCCTGCTTAATCTCTGTACTCACCTCAGTCTGAGTGGGAACCCCTTGACACCTGGAGTCAAAGAAACCAGGCTCTCTCCCTGTGTTGATTATTTTTTTGTCAACTTGACAGGAACTAGAGTCATCTGGAAAGAGGGAACCCCCCAACTGAAGAATTGCCTCCCATTAGATTGGCCTGTAGGCAAGTCTGTGGGTGCAGTTTGACTTTCTTTTGAGGTCGCCGGCTCACAAATAACAACATGGACTTACTATTAATAATGAAAGCGTGGCCTTAGCTTAGGCTTTTTCCTAACTAGTTCTTATAACTTAAATTAACCCCTATTTTTTACATCTACATTCTGTCACATGCTCATTGCCTCATCCCCATACTGCACGTCCTGCTCTCCCTCTGTGTCTGTCTGGTGACTCTTCCTTTCTTCTTCCCAGAGTTCTCTCTCTCGGCCACCTATACCTCCTGCCTAGCTATTGGCCATTCAGCTTTTTATTACACCAATCACAGCAACACATCTTCACACAGTGTCCAACTATCCCACAGCATGTGGGGGCATTTTCTTTACTAATGATTGATGTGGGAGGGCCCAGCCCACTGGGCAGTGCCACTCCTGGGCAGGTGGTCCTAGGTTGTATTGGAAAGGTAGCTGAGCAAGCCATGGAGAGCAAACCAGTCAGTGGTGTCCCTCGATTGTCCACGCTTCAGGTCCTGCCTTGAGTTCCTTCCCTGACTTCCCTCAGGGATGGACTGATACCTGGAAAAGTAAGCTAAGACAAAATGTTTCCATTCCCTTTCCTTCTCACCACAGCAACAGAAGCCAGACGAGGACATTCGCCATCAGAGGGATGGCTCTACTAAGCTGTTCTCCCTTTTCAGCTTTGAAAAGCAGGTCACTGGTTAAAGGTCCTCAAGACAAGACCCATCAAAGGCATCCAAGTGGTCTGGGGAGCTGGAAGCAGGCATCCTTAGCCGAGTGGCTAGCTGGCCAGCAGCTGAATTCCAGGGAACACCTGAGTGCAAGGAGCAGCTTGCAAAGGTCCAGGAGCCTCAGAGACCAAGCTCTAGTGTGGTCTGATGCCACCCAGGTGTATGACCTTGAGCAAGTGACCTGACTGCTTCAGCCTCGGCTTCTGCATCTATGAGATGAGTAGCAGGGACCATTTCCCAGCAAGGAGGCAGAGACTTTCTGGCATGCTGCATTTACCTCACTGTGATTAAAATGGAACTCATGTGAAGCTCCCACGTGGTGGGTATTTAACTCCTATCTTGTTTTAATCACAAATTGGGGCTTTTTGAGAATGTAAGGTTTGCGTGTGTCAGTCTGTCCTGATAGTCCTCTTCTCAGGATGTATTCTGGGTCTTCAGCCAAAGGTTCCGCTAAGGCTGAGTCAGCAGATCTCCCTGGGCCTGGCACTTTGCACACATTTAGCCCCTCCCAACTGCAGTCAATTACCCATGGCTGAGAGAGCAGAAAACTGAGGTTCAGACAGGATACCCGACTTGAGGTCACACCACTGTTACATGAATGAGCATGCCTGGTCATGGGAGCCTGAGGGGAAGGCCTGAGGAAGTGGTTGCTTTGTTTCTGGGCTCTTCAACTGGCGTGTGATGGGGGCACATCTCACTGAAACAACGCTTCTTAGAGTCCAATGCCAGATGCCCAACAGCCAGAGGCATTGTATAGGTAAGGCAAGGCCAATCAAAGGGAACCTTCCTAGCAAGGCCAGGAGGCTGTGCTTCCATTTCCTGGCTCTCTTTTCCTGCTCACTTTGGCTCCCACCTTCCACCTAAGAAGCTGACAGTAAGCGTTCTCTCCACACCAGGCCCAGAAATCCGGAGAGTTCCCGTTATGTCCAGAAGATGGAACCTGGGCGGAACTTCCTCTTGCCAGATGAATGCCCTGAGTGTTTCACTTCCCTTTCTTAATGGGAAGTGTTCTTAACCCCAGTTTCTACCCTGCAGGGACTGTCTCATGCCCCCACACTTTTCTAGGCATGACTGTAGCAGGGTATGTCCATCTCCAGAGAAGAAGCTCAGGAGTGGGCGAAGGCCCATGCCAGGCCCTGGTCTGCAGATGGAGAGGCACATCTGAGCATCATTGGGATATCATGTAAACTAGAGGGCCAGTAGACATGGAGAACTCTGAGGAGGAGGCTCTTTCATGCAGAAAGAGGGGCTTGCTTGTCTTCAAGCTTTTGAGATCTATGTAGGCAAAAACTGCAGCATGTGAGCCTGTGACCCAGCAGACTCACCTTGCTGTGCGTGTGCAGCCTTTGAGGCACCTTCCCATGGCTATTGAGCTTCTGGTCATCTATCCATCCACCAGAGACTGTGGCTGTTTTCACTGAATGGGACACAGCCCTGGCAATAAGCCTGACGTCCAGTCTAGCTTTCCAACCTACACATGGCTTCTCACCCTCCCCAGGCAATTAGCATGCCTGCCACATCCTCAGAGACACACTTGGGATACTATTGCCACCCTAAGTTCCCTGAAGAGACAGCCAGACAGTCGCCAAGAATTGTCAGGAGAGAGTTTTCGCAGTGACATGAGTGTTTTACTCCCTTCTTTTCAATGCCAGGAGGACCTAGGGCACAGGAAATTGGGGGAGGGCTGAGGAAAGGGCAGTTAAAGGTACTAAAGCCACATTCACTGAGCTTAACACCTGCCAAAACACCCTGTTTCCGGCCATCTGAGAGACAGCCTGGTTCCTTCCCACCTATCCTGATTCACTGATGACAGAGCAGGAGCCCCACTCTTTCTGGACCCCAAAGATTGTTCCCAGAGCATGACCTAGAGGGATTCTATGGCTCAGCAAGCAAGGGATTGCACTATGGCCTGGTCTTAGAGCCTGGGGATCACTCCCCCTGGGTCCTCACCTGGCTGTGCTGCCGATTCACTGTGTGGTCCTGGAAGTCAACTCTGAGCCGTGGAGTCAGTTATTTCAGCACCGACTCTAGGGACAGGCAGGAAAGACTCAGGAGTAGCCGTGGAGCTCCCCAGAGCTCCCTTGAGCAAGCCTGCGAGGCGCTGTACTGAAGAGTCCAAAGCATGTCTTCTTGGAATGAGTGAGTCTCTGCTCAGGGAGAGCGATGCATGCCAGCCGCTCTCCCATTCTCCCTACCCAACTGCAAGCCAGGATCAAGCTGTCCTGGTCCCTCCTGCGTAGATGTCCTCTTATTCTGCCGGCCTTTCCAAGCACATGCAAGCCTTCATTGTAACTTTGTATTCCATTCTCCATCTATTAGCTTGTCATGGAGACATTCTTCTTCTATTACTGGTTATATAGGAAATTAGACCATGCTTCCTTAGATTATTATGTCTACATTCAGTTTATGTCTCTGTATCCTGGACAATTGAGAGGAATTTGGAACACTGTAATTATATGTACCCCTCCCACCTATCCAGACTTTAATAATATATACATAAATATGTACATAGTTTAAGTATATAGAACATATATAATGAAGCCCGTTTTAAAATGTCATCATTCTTGTTTCATTGACCTGAAGCAGCAAGTCATTCTTCAGTGACAGGGCCCTGAGAGAAAGGACCAGGGGATCGGGAAATGAAGAAGGGGGGACAGTGGGCTCAGGAGGTCTTGCACAAGTCGTGTCTTCCACCAAGCGAGTTTATTAAGAAGTACAGCGTCTTAGATGTTATTCTAAGGGGGGAACAGAGGGCCTTCTCCTTGTGCTGAAAGAGGCCTAGACCCATGAGTGGCCATGCTCTCCCTTCCCCTATGTCTCACGCTGTCCTGAGATGCCCTGGAGATTCACTATTACCTACAACTTCCTTAACCAATCCCTGACCTTTGAAAGGAACCTCATAATCTAGGAGCTCCCTGCCCAGCAGCCCTCTCCCTTCAGAGGGGAGAGGAAGACGTTCAACACTGTGCTCTCCGGGGCTGGAATAATAGAGGCTGGGTGCACTGAGACCCAGGAAACCCTGCTGTCAAGAGGCCCCTCCCAGAAGGGTACCAGTTTCACAACTCTGGCAGTGGGTTCCACTTCTGCAATGGAAAATGACATTTTCATTTCTTTCCTAGAGGGAAAAGGAGGAGCGGTAGAACTGACGTGTGCTCGCCCAGGCCCTTCCCTGCAGAGAGAGCACACAGCTGCAGAGATGTACCTCGGCAGGAAGGTAGGTGGAGGCCAGAGGGACTGGGACCCCCAGGGAGGCCTGGTGGGGCTAAGAGAAGGACTCCTGGCCAGAGCCAGCCTCTTTCTGTGTGTCAGTCATGGTAGGCATTAACAGGTCTAGGTTTCTGTTCTCCAAGGACCACTGGGATCTGAGACAAACAGGTCAGCCTCTGCAGGCGTGCCACTGTGGCAGAGAGCAAGCTTTTGCCAGATTTGACTGCTCAGTAGCACAGACAGAAATCTCACAGAGCCATGCTTACTGTCAATATCCTTGGGCCATGGCATTGGTTTCTAAGGGATGGGCATGTACTCTCACCAAGCCTGAGAGCATTGGTGCCCAGCCCTCAGTCCTGGGCTCAGCCTGCACCCTGCCTCAGGAAGAGGTGTTCTTCAGGGTCAGAAGGCAGTGGCCAGAGGTGTGTCTGTCTACCTGCTAGAGAAAGAGTATCCTCGGGGGCCTAGGCCTCATTGTCAACTAGATCCCCACTGACATACTACATTCAAAAAGCAACAGGGCAAGAGGTTGGCAGCAATCTAGCACGGGATGCCTATCCCACAGACTTTAAGAACCAAGCTCCCATTCATAGTTGATCGAGCATCACCCATTACATGTGATGTCTCCTTACCTGTTTCCTGGCAGATGTCCCTAGACATTTGCTGTGGCCAAGTGCTATTTGGACTACAAGGTGGGTCACACTCTGCCTCTGGGAGACCTTAGGGAGACAAGAGAGGAGCTTGAGGAAGACAAGAGCCCGCAGAACTCTAGGGGTGGAAACGCAAATGTGGGGGAGGAGGCGTTGGCCAAGTACCCTTGTGATTGATGTTAGAGGACACAGACAAGGTCGCCTTCCCCAGAGAAGAAAGCATTTGAACTGGGCCTTGAGAGACGAGCAATGTTTTCACACACAATCTAGGATGGAACAAACATTCTTAGCAGAAAAAAAATATTGCAGGCCAATATTTCTCTAGCCAGGTGCTAGGGAAAGTATAAAATTACCGTGGAGTCCCTCTCAGTCCTTGGTTCCTGCTGAAATCAGCGGCAAATCCGGGGTCATGTGGGGTGTGTAGATGTGGCAGAGTCTGCTCTCCAAAGCCAGGCAGGAACAAAGCACACCATGGGATGGGCCTTCTCATGTGTGTCCATCAGGTACCGAAGGACGAGTTCCTGGAAGAAGAGCTGTGGGACCTTATGTGCAGTTCCTGGAGCCCCTGATGGTTCTCCAGTGAGCTAGCTTTTCCCTCTGCCCACTGTCTCCACCAGGATCTGCCTTCTGCCAGATGTTCAGGAGACATGGTGCCTGGCCCATGGGAAGCATTGAGAAGGTGTCTGCTGTGTTCAGGCCCCTTTTATGTTGCTCTGTACCTCCACATCTGAAAGCACCAAATTTTCCCCCTCAAGAGGGGTACCCCCAAAAGTGAAGGCCTGTCTCCTTCTGCTTCACCACAGCACCTGGACTGACATCTGGCTCAGAGGAGGGCTCTGCGAGGGTGTGTTTGTTCGTGCCTGACAGACATAAGCAAGCCTCTCGTGACTGCTTTTCTGTTCCTGTAAAGCAGAGGCAAACTGTCTCCAAATGGCCTGCAGACCATCAGGCTCCACCCTGTAAGCTGGTAAGATTTATCCCTTGCCTAGAAGAATAGGCACACCTTTATTACAAAATAGTACAGCTCAGAGAGGATGGGCAATGTCCTGTTGGAGTGTGAAGAGACCGAGTTCCAATACTAACGTCAACCTCCACTCCATCCTGGCTTGGGCAGAATGACTGTATCCATTTAGACATGGTCCTCATTGACAAGATGTAGCCCCAGGGCCCCTGAAGTGAGTAGCCTATCTAGGCTTAGAAAACCACAGAAGTGTGTATATCTTTGTCACATTTTCCCCAGGATCTCATCTATGGAGAGGGCCCTCACAGTCCTGCAAGTGAGCCTATACCACCCCACACCAGGCCTGGTCACCTTTGCCAAAGTCCCACTGCGGCTGCAGCATGATACCAGTCGGCTGCTGGTGGGACGTGGGCAGGACGCCCACATCCAGCTGCAGCTGCCCCAGCTGTCCCGACACCATCTGTCCTTGGAGCCCTACCTGGAGAAAGGAAGCAACCTGCTAGCCTTCTGCCTTAAGGTGTTGTCTCGCAAGAGCTGTGTGTGGGTCAACGGGCTGCCCCTGAGGTACCTGGAGCAGGTCCCCCTCAGTGCTGTCAACAGAATCTCCTTCTCTGGCATCCAGATGGTAGTCCGCAGAGACGGGGGCTCCTCCCTTGAGACCTTTGTCTGCTACTTCCATTTCAGCTCGTCACCCCTGATTTACAGACCCAAGGCCCAGGAGACGGATGAATGGGAAAACGTTCTTAAGAAGGAGACTCCTCCTGTTTCTGGGGAGGCAACTCGTGATCTCTTGGGGTCTCCCCAGGGCTCCTCCCACACTCAGACAGCTGTTCCCAGCCAAGCCCTGGAGGAGCAACAGAAATAAAGCTCCAGAGGGAAACCCCCAGACACTGCACCCTGCCAGCCCTGCTGGCTGAGAGCAAGTCTTGCTAAAACAGGGTTTGAAGTATTTGAACTATGTCATGTGAGGTTGACACACAAAGTTGGCATGCAAGGCCTGCTGGCCACCCCACTCGCAGGGAACTGATCCTGTAAACTTTGAGCAGCCCAGGGGTGGAGAAGTGCCCTCCATGGCTCTGGGTAATGGGAACTATGGGAACTTCATATACTTTTAGAGGCCCTGAGAGGTTCTGGGGAGCCTCTCCCATCATCACCCCCCCCCATTTCCTCCTTTGTCTGGCTGGGAGTCACTTTATGTTGCTCATTTCACAGGCTGCTTAAGAGCAGAAGCATAGGGTTGCAGCAGGAATGCAGGGACACGTGGAGAAATGACATTTGTGGTAGCTCAGGGTTACCTTCAGCTTTCAAATACCCACAGGCACTCAGGGCTTAGGAAAGCCTGTGTTTAATAAACTGAAAGTATTTCATTAAGCTGGCACACCCAGTAGGATTCCCTGAGTCCCAGATGGGCCACATGTACGCCATGTTGTCATGTGGAGCTGGGGGCGGGAAACCTGGGAGAGGTGTGAGAGGAAATTGGGAAGGTAGGCAGGAGTTTTCGTTTCTAGAAAGGCTGCATGGCAGAGCTCAAGGCTTCCGGGAGGGGAGCTAGAGACTAGGACTGCTTGGATATTTCTTCTCCCCTCCCTCCTTTCCCCTCCTCTTCCTTTTCTCCCTCCTCTCTTCTCCCATTCTCTGTCACTTCTGGACCAAGGCCCTGGCTGACCAGAGGGCAAAGGTCTTCAGGAAAAGACTGTTTCCTGCAGAAGTAGGCTCTTTCAGAACTAATTCCATGGTTAGAGAGCAAGGTTGTGTCAGAAGTCAACCGAGTTATCCCACTTGGAGGAGTAAGATGCCTGCCAGGGCTTATCTTCCCTGATCAGACATGGAGGTGGGGTTGTTAAGGAGCCAGGCAGGCAAGGATAGCATAATTTTCTCAGGGAGAAGGGAGCAGAGGGCTAACAGCTGCTTGCCATTTAGAAATAATGTTTACTCAAGTAAGGGCAGGAGAATCCTACAAACTCAGGTAACTACCATAAGCCCAGACTCTGCACTAGGGCACCCCAGACACTGAAGGCACAGTGCTGCTCACAAACTGACTCATAACCCCAGCATCTGTGACACCTCTGTCACGAACCATTCCCTACCCTTTGTGCCCAAGGCAGACTATAGGAGGCTCAGGGCTGCTTCCCAGCCCCGAATATCTTCCTCTTAGGGAAAATAACACCAGACAAGTCCTACTCACATCTATGCTTAGGAAGTCCCTTCTCCAACGGAATATGAACTGAGTACCCTTAGATCACAGATACAAGATAGAGGAGAGCATGGTCTACCTGGAAGGATGCTGGCCATGTGGTGAATGGCCCCAAGACTCCCAGAGAGACTCCCACAGTTCCTCCCTCATTTAGATGAACTTTTACCAAACACCCACCTCATGCCAAATGTATATCAAGTCTCAGAATCCAGGAATAAACAAAGCCAATAAAATCTACCTTCCAGAAGCTTGCTTGGCCCCAGGAGAGATAAGCATTCAGGAACAAATGACTTAATTATTTTATCACAGCTGTTGGGATTATATCTTGTCCCTCCTCTGGTTGGGTTTGAGATTTACCCTGTCATTAGGTAGATTTGAAGTTGATACGTACTGTATGTTCATCCCTCTGCTAAGCAAGTCACGGTGTAGTAAGCCCTTGAGCACTGGAGCCAGGGGTCAACACCATTCAGTCCTCACAGTTCCCCAGATAGACACTGATCTCAAGCACAGTTCACAAATAAGGAAGATAAGACTCAGAAGGTTAACTATCTAGTCAGGGCCATGTCATTTGTGAACTGGGTGACCTTGGGCAAGGGACTTAGCCTGTCTTGCCCTCTATTTCTCCCTCTGGAAAGCCAGGTAGATAAGCATACCTAGCTGCCAGAACAGTTGAGAGGATGTCAGGAGGCAGGTCATGGAAAATGCATAGTGGCCCACAGAAGGCACTCAAGAAAGGCCAGCCGTCCTGAGGCCAAAGACAGGGAAGCTAAAATATACAAATCCTGAGGCTCATCACAAACATGGAACTTGGGGTGACTTGAACCCCAGTAACCTAGCTCTAGAGCTCAAGAGCTTCCAGTGTTCTGTGGAGGATGGAGGAGGTGTTAAGCTGCTTTTATATCAGAAGATCTGGGTTCGTAGAACAAGAGACACTGCTGGCACTGGAGAGGGGGAACTGCCTGTAGTTCAGGCTAGTCCACTGCTCAGGATTGCTTTGAAATCCCCCAACTCTAAAGCAGGTACAGATCCATGGAAGACTCAAGCGCTGTCCAGTCTGTGATTACAGAGCAGCTGCCCACAGAAAAACCTTGAGAAACACACCTAGAGACTGCATGGCCACCCAAGGCTGGAGGCACCAGGGTCTCTGGGTGTAGCTCCTTGCACCTCTGAAGAACTTTTGGAACAGGCTGCAGCTGCCAAGTGTCTCTCTCCATCCTCTCCCCTCCAGGAAGGCGCAAACCCACCCCTGCTAAGGGCCCATGAGATAGAGCAGCGCACTTCCTCCATGGGGGACTGTGTGGTTGGTGTATTTTGGGTGAAGTGTCTGTGAGGTCCTCACACTGAAAAGTAGACTAGAGAATGACAGGCCAGACACAGGAAGGGGAAGAGCCAGGAAACATCTGGCTTGTTTCACAAAGTCTCCTCGGGAGCATTTCTTCCTCCTCCTCTTTCTCTTCTTCTTCTTTTTTTTAGTTTTATTGTTTTTTTAGACAAAGTCTCACCGTGAGTCTCAAAGCAGCCTTGCATTCACTATCCCGAATCTGCCTATCCCAAGTGCTCAGTCACAAGTGTACACCAACCACACCTGACTTGTTCCAGGTATTCAAGACAGCAAACTCTGCTAGCTTTCACTTCCCTTGAAAAACAAAAAACCTGGAACTATTAGATTCATGGCCCCATGGCACTCTCCTGTCACTTGGAATCTGTAGGTTAACTTCAAGACCCTGCTTGTGGATTTGCCGTCACTGTCGCTTCTCTTGCCTACACAGGGTCCCTTCTAACCATCTCTTATGAATGTCCTAAGCTCCCCCCTCCCAGCAGGGCAGCCTGTGTGACCATGGGGATGAGCACATGGAAGCTTACAGGACATACAGACACACAAACACCCATAGGCACACAACACAGGTAGTTTCAAGCTGTCTGGGCTACAATTCATGCTACTCACTTACCGTCCCATGGTCTTTGGACCTGTGACTCCTACTTGACGGTCACTGCAGAAATAAAATGAGACACTGAATGTAAATTTGTCTGTGGCACACAGTAGGTGTTCAGGAGGGTCAGTTAGCATTGGCCAGTTCGGTGGAACAAGTTGAGCATACGTGGTCCTGTGGACTCAACTGCAAGTACACGTATGCTGCAAACACACCCGCTCTAAGTAGATAAATCCCATATGATCAGATGGACCTCGGGCACTGCCGTCCCGGAGACGGTGTCAGGAAATTCTGAAGTCATTCCCTGCCCTGCCTGTCGAGGCTGTTTAATTCTCACCAGCCTGTGCCTCACTGCCGATGTGAGTCTTCCGAAGCTGACTCTTCCTGTCTGCTCAAGGCTGTTGGATGCCACAGTGGCCAGAACGGGGCTGGACAGGATGTGAGGCCAGCAGTGATAAAGGTCCGAGGCAAACCTCACAAGCAGACACCCTCAGTCAGAGGCCCACAGTGGAAGAAGCTAAGCAGCCAGTGAGGTCAAGACGACCAGAGAGTCTGGGAGGGCAAGACACAGTTGTCGCTCCCTCCCCTGCCTCAAACGGAGGGAGCACGGCAGTGTTTCCTTTCTCTCCCCCTCAAGCCTTGGTACCCTAACTCAAGTGGAGCCTGGGTTTGGGGATTTTGTGTGGTGACTGGTGACTGTCATGGTGCAAGAGAGACAGTTCCCTCTCACCGGCACTTCCGGCCTCCAACAGAGGTGCAAGGCGGCAGGCTCCCCCAGGAGACCCCGAGAAGGGCTCTGAGCAATGGCAGCCAGGAGTCACCCTCCAAATCTCCTCTCTCTGCCCACACCCCCAGGCACGTACCAGCAACACTCACCTTGCTGTGCCAGCCTGCCACCTAGGGTACCAGGAGGCCACCCTGCTAGAGGCCTGGACAGGACAGTTGTTAACCTGAAAGAATACTTGTTGGTAGACAAAGGAGCAGCAGTCAGTTCTGCCAGCGGGGCACAGAGGGAGCACCAGCAGGGCACCAAGGGAGCACCAGGGGGTCACCAAGGGAGGACCAGCAGGGCATTGAGGGAGCGCCAGCGGGGCATTGAGAGAGCAGTCACTCCATAAACGTGTAAAGGGAGCCTTAGTTGAGGGGTCCAGTTTCAGGCCTCCCAGTGACTGACTGGTAGGGCTGAGGACCTGGATGGAGAATCATTTTTATAACGACCCACTGCACCACCACCAGGCTGCCATCACTGAGTGCAGAAGGCTCCTCACTACCTCTGCTGCCCAGAAACTAGTGGGAGCTGGGACACCTGCCTCCTACTCCATCTGTCATCGGTTCCAGTTTCCTCTGCTCCCAGCCAAAGGCCTCTGGGTTGCAGTCACCCTGTGTTGCCCCAACCCTTCCATCTAGCCAAGACCTGGGGGAGGAGTTAAGCCCAAGGAGGAGATGCTGATTTTAATGAACTTGGTTCACATTGCAAGGCTCTGATTCCTCTCCCTTTAACGTGAACTCACAGGCGGATTAAAGTGAAATAAAACCTACTATCTGAGTTACATTTTCAGCTTATTGGAAACATGCATTACCTCCTTGTGACTGGGTCGTGAGAAGGAAAGTTATTATCTTCCTTTAGAGTTTGTAAACGCTTTATGGCTCAGGCATTAATCCTGCTTCTGGGGGGGTGACGGAGGAAAAAAAATGTTCCCATTTACCTTTGTTTTCCAATCACATGCTCCAGTGGGAACGAAGCATCCCAAGTGAGCAATGGAGAGCCAGGTGAGCCCCGGCAGAGGAGTGTAATTATTTTCTTTAAGCATGTGAACTGAAAGGGCATTAAAGAGCTGTTTGGCAAGGGAGCTTGTTCCATCCTCCAGAGAGGACGCAACTCACCCGCCCCACTCCCAGCCTCTCCCTGGTTCTTCTGGTGTTTATTTCCAGGAGAAAAATGGCCTCCATCCCCCATGACGACATCTGCATCTTAGAGGGGGTGCTTGCTGAGAAGGGCACAAGACATTTGGGAACAAGAAGGAGCCAGAGAAAGGGCAGATCTGTCAGATCACATCCATGCAGGAAGGAAGGATACACCATGTAGACCTGACTCTAGAGAAACAGGGGATTCCCTCCTGCTGTTTCCCTAATCCCTCTGTATACTATCACCACCGAGAAGGCTTGGAGTCCAGCTTTCTAACTCCTGGAAGGAAGCCTGCCCAGGGTGTCTGCTCTGCTTTCTTTTAAAGCTATGGAGTGAGGGGCTGGAGAAGTCTTCAGTAAAGCGGAGGCTGGCCCGAGATGCCAGTGCTCAGCCAGGCAATCAGACCTGACATTTCTGGGGTTGCTTCTCTGCAAGGTCAGATGTCATGATGCTATTCTTCCAGAGAGCCTGTCTCAGACCAGTTAGAAACAGGGGCACTAATAAGGATCCTTGTTTAGAGGATTTTCATCATCCAGAATCAATTCAGGCAAACAAAGACAGTCTCAAGTGTTAAAAAATAAAAAATGTAATTTGGGGAATTGGAGACACAAGTGGGAGAATTACCAAGCAGCTAAAGAGGAAGTGGCATTCAGAGACTGGCATGCGCAGACATTATCACCACTGCCGGCTGTACCCCTGTAACTGGAGGGGTGTAAGTGACATTAGAGTGGGCCCTATCCTGAACTACCATGGCCAGCTGGAACCACAGGTGGCTCGTAAGTTGTTGGAAAGAGGCAGAGATGGTGGGGTGTGTCTACTCTTCATGACCCACCATCTCCCAGCACACTTCCCTTTGGCAAGAGCAGCTGGCAAAGGACACTGAGACTGACTGCTGGTCTGAAGGGTCCTGGGACCTTGCAGGACAGGCCAGAAGACAGAGGAGTGTGGTGGATATGTGGGCAGCCAAACTCCAATGCAAGCTCCTTGTGTTCTGTGTCAGTGTCCCTTAGCCTTGTCTGGGCCCTAGGGTAGCCACCAAGTAGAGTGTGATGTTGGGGAATGGGAGGAGTCATTGTACAGACGACACCACTGCCCAGGGGCTCTGTTGCCAACCTCTCTAACCTAAGCATCTGAGCAAAGGGCGGTGGGTACAGCATAGTGATACACAAGGAAGAGTCAGATGTGGTCTTTGTTGGCATCCTTACCAGCATGCCATACTGCCCTGTGTTGGTCCCCCTTCCCAGGTGTCGGCACAGAGCAGAGAGGTGTCCAAAGAAGACCAATACCCAAATCCTCACTGTTTTCCACTGATTCTAGAAACTTTATCATTACACATGCTACCATTTCCTCATCTAAAATGAGAATACTGTACCTACCTCACCTCTGTGAAGATGAAAAAACCCAATATATAAAAACAACTTAGTACATGGACTGTGCACTAAGTACCAGCCATCGAAATAGCTATCAGATCCTTCCAGAAAGATCCCTGGCTGCTCCTGCTGAGAAGAGCCCTTTACCGTCCAGCTCCACATTACTGCTGGGGCACTCAAAGGGGACTGTAAGCAGTTATCTGTGGCACAAAAGTCCTCATCTCCACAGGAGTCAGTACCCCATTTTAGATGTCTTCTTGCTAGAATTTCCCACCAGAAGAACCCTATATGCGGCAGAAACTCTCTCAGAAATGCCTATAGCTCCCAGTAAGTCTTCAGTAAGGCCCTGAAGGCAGGAGGGTGAGCTATGAGGAAGATTTGGGTGGGGTAGGAACAGCCTTGTAAGGACAAGGATGAGCAGACCCCTGGTGAAGCCTTGATAAAGCTGTTACGAGAGCTGTTAAAATGGACTTCGAACAGCCAGGCACTCAGGCTGAGAAGAATGAAAATGGCCTTGCTCCAGAAGCAGTCACTGAGCTCAGCAGCCCCCAGCAGAGCCTCACATCACAATCCCTGGGTCTGCAGGCAGGGCTGTTTCCAGACAGGCCACTCAGAAACAGGCCCACAGCTCCTGAACTCTGAGATCTGCCCCAGGAGGACTGGCGGCTGACTGGAGGCTGGAGGCTTAGAACCAGCACTGGGCCTCATTACTGAGGACCACACGGCCCCCATGCACACGCATTGGAGGCCTAGGCAGGAAGCTAGTAAGGAAGGCTGCCTTTCAGTTTTCTGTTCTGCTTCTCCTGGGCATGTAGGTTCTGTAGTTACCATGTAGATTTTGGGTGGAAACACCTCAGAGCTTCATATGTTCAGACTTCTTCCCCACTCTGGCCCTCTGCACAACCCCTGCCTAAACGCCTAGGTAACAGAAAACCACAGGGCAATTATGAGCTATGAGTTTCTCTCCTCCGCTAAACAAAAAGAGTTTTTCCACCCAAGAATCTCAGCATGCCTTCCAAACCAGAGCTCTCAGGGGGAAAGAGAAGGTGAGGGGAGATGCTGTGAGGGGAATAGGGGTGAGGCGAGGTGAGCTTTTGGAGGAGTCAGCGTTGTGATAAGGGAAAGCCTAGGCCACAAGTTCCTCCTGATGACAGCTGCACTGGAGGAAGGGATCCCCAGATTCCACGCACCTCACTTCATCAACCTCTACACTTGGGCAGTGCCAGTGAACAGCCCACACCTGGCTCTCTGGTACAGGAGCTCCCATGGCAGCATTTGCCAATTGCTATGGTGTAATTCTTCTCACTGTGGTCAGTTTTGAGAGACCCGTTACAAGGTGACCTTGTCGAATGGAAGGGGAAAGGTGCACAGGAGCACACACACCATTCTGTACTTGTTTTCACCACACAGATGCAGCAGTCAGACTCCTGAACCCCAACAACAGGGCAGCACCTGGTGGGTCACCATGCCATCTGTGTAGAGCTACCCAGCAGCCCTTGCAGGGCCCCATGACACCACCTCCCTGCGGCTGCCAGTGCTGGGTTCCTGGACCCTGTTGTGTCTGGAAAGTCGCCCTCCACAGCCTCCAGTGTACACTGTCTCCTTCTCCTACCTCCTCCTCTCTCGGTGCCATTACTGCTTCAGCTTCTGGGCAGGAGATGCCCCGTTGCCCAGGCTCCATCCCCTCCATCTCTATCTCTCCCTGTTTTCTGTAGGGTTTAGCATGCTTGGCTCTCTTAAACATCACGCTTTATGGCTGTTTGCAGTGCAATTTTGTTCCTATCCTGCCATTCAATTTGAATTAAATATCAAACAGATGTGAGTCATTTTTTTGTGCTCTTTTTAAAGAAAAAAGTTTAATATTGGGGAGCATGCCCTCCTAAGGTCAGGAAAGCCATTCGGAGAAATAAGCCCCCTCAAATTAAAAAAGAATCACATTGGTTAGCTTGAGATGCTTTCAAGTGGTACCTTTCGAAGTGCTAAGGAACGGTGTTTCCAGCAAGCTATAAAGCATCAGGAGAAAGCAAGGCAAGATATATGGCCTGGGGCTGATGGGGAAATTGAGCTCCGAGAAGGGGTAGCCCCACCTGGGAGGAAGCCCTGAGCCTGGAGATGAGGTTTGCAGATGATGCTGGGGGAGGCCATCTTCCCTCAAGGCCTTAGGGAGGGCCTGCGCTTTGCAGCCTGTGTGGTCAGGCTGAGAAGGGAGGCAGGATGGATTATCCATGTACTCAAAAGAGCCAGCTGAACTTATGCAGCATGTCCTACCTTCACAGGTTTGTGCCACCATGGTCCTTTTCCACAGCCAGCTGTTACAGTCTGAATTGTCTTCCTAGACATGCCAAATGCCTTTGTCCCTTGTCTCTGTTACAATCTCTTAGATAGTGGGGTCTTTGGACATTGGCAGGTCATTGGAGAATAAAGAGAAAGGCACGCCTCCTCTTTGCAGACAAGATCACAAATAAACTCGCCCGTGACCTCAGTGGCTATGGTCACTGCCCAGCATAGCCTAACAAGCATCTCATCACTGAAGTGTTCCACTCACAGGGCTGGGGCCCATCTCTTGATGGCTTTTCCCATGAGCAGGAATGGCTGGTCAGGCTCCAAACAACTCCCCTCACTTCTTGGCACAGCCATACCTGCCTCTCCAAATTATTGGACCTGCCGCCATTCGTGGCTTCCAGCCAGGATCTCTCCAGGGCCAGAGAGGCTAAAGTGTTTCCATGTGGTCCCCTGACTCACTACACCAAAGACACCACTCCAACTGCAGTGCCGACTGCAAACAGCATTTCCATGTCCAGGGCGTGGGGCCAGCTTGTTCCAGACATGTTCGATATTAATACAATGGTCTGCACACCCAAGGTTTGCCTCAGGGACAACAAGGAAATACCCAGGGGCCTTGCATCAGGCCCTGCTGATGAAACAGAGCCAACAGTTCCTAGAATTCTGCAGACAGCAGACCAGGCAAGTGGAGGGATTTAAAGAAAGAAAAGCCTAGACTTGGGCATCAGTTAACTGAAGTCAAGATCAGGTTCTACTCCTTCCTAGCTCTGTGACCTTAGCCAAGAACAACCTCACCCAGTCTTCTTTGTTTTTTATTTCTCCCTTCCATGCCACCCCCCTTTTTGAGGTGTGTGTGTGTGTGTGTGTGTGTGTGTGTGTGTGTGTGTGTGTGTGATTTTATGTGTATGGGTGTTTGGCTTGCATGTATGTCTGTACACTGTGTGCATGCAGTGCCCACAGAGGCCAGAAGTTACAGAAGGTTGTGAG